AGAGATGGTTTAAGGACATAATTTAAGTTGTATGTGTGGGCAAGAAGGCATTCCAGTAATGAGAACTAAATACAGTGGAAGAGTTGGAAGATATATAAATTATGTGGGATCTGAGTATGACACAAATGGTATGGAATGAGGGGTGGACAGTGCATGGAATAAGGGGCCTGACTGAGACAGAGTTCATTTTCCCTTAGCAGCCCTCACAGTGCTGTGCTTTGCAGTGCAAAAGGTGTTGACAACACACCACTGCTTTGGCTGCTGCTGAGCTGACCTGTCCCTCTAACATTCCCTCCCCATCAAGGGGCTGGGAGTGGGCAAGGTCCTGGGAGGGCACACAACCCGGTCAGCTGACCCAAATTAGCCAAAGGTATATTCCATACTGTGTGATGTCAGCTCAGGTATAAAAGCTAAGGGAGGGAGGAGGAACAGGGAGGCATTTGTTACTCTGCACTGTTTGCCTGCTGGAGCCACCACTATGTGTGCTGAAGCCCTGATTCCTTGGAAGAGCCTGAACATCGCTGGCTGATGGGAAGTAGAGATTGACTTTTTCCCTTTGCTCATGCACATGCAAACTTCTGTTTGTCTATTTTTATGCTTTAGTAAACTGCCTTGTCTCAACCTATGAGTTGTTTTCCATCTTATTCTCTCCTGTGTCCTGCTGGGAAGGGGAGAAATAGAGAGGCTCAGTGGGCACCTGGTGTCTGGCCAAGGTCAACCCACGCTGCATCACAGAACCTGGAGTCAGCCTGGCATCCCCAATGAGGGCCTGCTCTGCCAAGGAAATAACACAGGCAACAATGATTTGTGCACATTGGGATGCATTAGAAAAAGAGGCTACATTTGGGGTAAAAGTAAGTCCTTTTTATACCACAGAGACATAACAAGGCATAAGGCACCAGCACTTGGAGCAGCCAATAGATGCTGCTCACTTCTATTTTCATCTGGCTCAGTCAATAAATGATGATGTAAATGGGACAGAACACAAGCTTGTATTGATTCTGGAAACCTCATGGACCTGTTAATACAGCATTAAACACTCTGCCTTGATTACCTACAGGGTAAGTAATGGTTGTGTTGAAAGTTAAATGCCAGAACTTGAGATGGGAATGTCTAAGGAGCAAGATGTGCTGTGGTACAAGTGTCTATCCTCTGTGGTGATAATCTTTTAGTGCCACAAAAACAGAACCATCCAGGGGTTAAAAAGTTGGCCACCAGCATCACCCAGGGTCATTGCCATGTTTGTAGAATGAATTAGAAAAAAAATTTCAATTTTGTTATAATCAAAGTTCTCAATAGAGGTTATGATTTATACAGCCAATTGTGTTGCTTGGGTCATAGATGTCCCAATTATCATCAGTATTAAGCCAACTCTGGCATGTAGAATTAGGACCATTGAGATTACAGTATCTATGACAATTCATGTTATTAACATTCCATGTAAGATGCCAGAGTCCATTAAAACCTCATTTGTTTGTATTTGCTGATCCATTATTTCAGGTCCATGAGGTTTCCAGGATCAATACAAGCTTGTGCTCTGTCCCACTTACACTTGCTATTCTCTGCTTTGCATTTGAGTGTCCTGTCACCTCTGAAACTCAGTTTGCTGCCTTTCCAAATTCAACCAATTCTTAGACACCTTATCCCTGTCCCATACAAACATCTTGCCATTTTCCCTGCTTTTCTACTGCCTTCTCCTAAGCATCCATGACCTGTTTACCACAGATCCACACTTTTGACACCAGTTAATGCCACAACCCAGAAGGATTACTTGGCTTGTTGAGTATGCAAAGATTGCAACTGTTTGTAGTATGTCTGACCCTGTTATGCCAAAAGACACAGAGGATTTATTACCTATTTTCTCTTATTCATTACAGTTTACTACTATCAAGGCAAATATAGTTACAGTTGGTAAAACAACTAGATCTACTCCACAAGATACTGCAGATTACTACCAGAAAGCAAACAGGGATTTCCACAACAGCTTGATGCAGTCAATACTAGCATCAAGTCTATATTTCAATTTACACAGCTTATGACATACCACCCACCACCTTATGCACAATTACAGCCTTGCTCAGGCTTCCCCCATCCGTTGTCCTGGCCAGCCTCCACCTACAGCCCTGCACGTTCACAGCTGGACTGTGGCTCACATCAGCTTATGAGAAAATGCTCAGAGACCACATGGGTCATGTACAACAGAGAACTGAGACTGAGGACAAAGCCAACCCAGACACACAGGCAGGGTCACCTCTCCCAGGATGAAAATGCCTGCCAAAGGAGTTGGAGGAAAACCTGAAGCTGGAGCAGGCACCAGGCTGAGTTTTAATTTTTTGCAGCATCCAAAGCTGTACTCATCACTGTGGTACGGGCTGACCCAAGATCCACCGCCATGATTACAAACAAACAAACCAACCAAACTATCCAGTGTGTCTAGCCCAGAGCCCAATCACAAGCCTTCCAAAGCAGACCATTCTCTGAGACAGTGACCTCCGAAAGTCAGAAATGAAAACAAACTTCCTCTGGGTGTTTCACATTCCTTTGGTGCTGTTCTCTAAATGCAATGTTTGTGTCTCTTACTAAAAAAATCCACAGCAACAGGCTTTCCACATAAACTTAAAGGGAAGTGATTCAGTTATTTTTCTGGGATTATGTTTCAAATAAATTTTCATAGACTAGGCTATGGAAACTACAATATGATCTGTCAGTTAACCAATAATAAAGCAATGTTGATACTGTGGCATACAAATAATACTTTTAAGGATGATGCTTGTTTAACTTGGCTGGTTTTAATTCAGCACTGGCTTTATCAAGATTTTGCAAGAATTTTAAGTCTGAGTAATGCACTGTACTTATGCAGTTATACTGCCCTGGCTGGGTTCTCTTAACAGATACCCACAACCTCCAAGACACAGAGTGGACTTTACACACAAATATCAACAGCTACGTAACAATTCCTTGGTGGTTCGAGCTTGTGCTGGTCTCACAGTTCTCAGGAATTGCTGCTCAGAAATAGCAGCAAGTCATGCAGCTTTCTGCTGCAAGCACTGGTAACACTTGGTCACAATCTCATTTCACTATGAAAAATAGTGATTTCCTTTCATTCTGTTATAAACCATGCTCCAGAATGGGCAAGGATCACAATTTAATATAAATGCCTACTGTCAGTTAACATTAAATTGAGAAATTGAAATATAACCTTGTGCCTCTACCACAGGCTCAATCAGATCACAGAATGAACTGCAAGAGTTTCAGATTCATATATTATGATGCAAATGAGTTTTGTAAATTGTGACCTAGTTCCCATGTTAGGAACAGTTGGGACCAACAGCAGGGGCTGTGTGATGAATGCAAGCAGCAGGAGCAAGCAAGGAAATTAACATTTGTTCTTAATTTGAAATGGATTTTTAATCACTTTCAGGTGCCTCAAAGAAAGTGCACACACTTGTTTACTATAATCATTCTGACAGAAGAATGCATATAGGAGGTAACATGGTTTTGTTTTACTAATTGAAATGTTTGCATCAGTGGTGTCACACGAAGTGCCAGAACACAGCTCTTTCTGGAGGGCACAAAGAAGGACTGTGAAATGAAGTTTCCCAATTGATCCATTCCTCAGAACTCGCTTTGTGAAGAAAGTGAGTTGCACATACCCTCTAAAAGTGACGGGATATTAGATCACATTCATCTTTCCAAATCCAGTTGCTATTTTTTAAGCTAGAGGCCTGATAAACTCGGTCTCCAAAGAGCCTGCTCAGGGGTTTAGCTCCACGGCTGTCAGCCACATGCTTAAACACGATTCAGCAGAATTAGTGGAAAATACTGAACTCATGAAATTCTGCTTGTGCTGTAACAGTGAGCCCACAACACATTGTACTGAGCAATTGTTTTAAATGAGCTTTAGAATACTGCTTTAAATGTTCGAATCACATTTAAATGTTTTAAATACACCCAACAGCAAGGGTGTAACTTATTGAAAACCAGACAGATTTTCATTCTGAGGATTATCTAGAGCTGGAAATTTTTGGAAGCTGTAAAAAAAGCGGAGCGTCGAGGCTCCCCAAAAATAGAGTCTCAGCTCCCTCTGGTGGAAAATGCCGTTTTCTGCAAAAAGGTCCAAGTGAGAAAGTCTTGTTTCTGCTACAAGCCTCAAGGGCATGAAATACGGAGACAGCAAACAAATCCCCTGGAGTTTGAAGGAATGGAACTACTTAGAAGTTGAAGTGAAATATCCCATCCCACTGACCATTGCAGGGTGTCTGAAGAGGACACCTCATAATCAACAAGTTCCTTCTTCCACAGGGTGGAATTCTCTAGGTGTGAATTATGATACTTAATCCTCCTGAAGCAACTGGTAGGTACCCCCAAGGAAAATAACACACACAGTGTTCTAACATTCTCTCCACAACAGCTTAAGCCCCACAAGCAGCTGAATCATGAGAGAGCACTATATCACCAAATCACGAGGCATAAAGCAAAGCCCTCAGATCCCAACCTGTGTCCCTTGGTCTTAGACATCCTGCATAAATTAAACCAACCCAAAAAAGCCTCCTCCAATCTCCTATTTTCAAAGATCTGGCACTAATGGCAAAAACCTCACTAAATACAGTTGTTCCCAGTCCAGACATTAAGTGTATTAACAAAAGGACCCAGCTTTCTGTGTGCTCTGGAACAAAGCACAAAGTCCAGAACTGCATCACCACTGGTTTTTGACTTCTTGGTCAGTAACATTTTCATTGTTATTTACACCACCTACATGCTAGACACACTTAAGGTTATTTCATACTTTAGAACCAAAACAAATCATGCAAGACATTTCTATTTCTCCTTATTTACCATGTACAGTGGAAAGTAAAGCCTGCAAGTATGCCAGCTATTGTCACAAGAAGTCTAATAAAATATATTTTTAATTCATATCAATCAACAGCTCCACTTTAATTAAGCACACAACTAACTGCTCCAACAAATTCTGTAAAAAGAATCATGAGCAACTTCTTCAGTCACAGACACAGAATGATTTTTTATTATACTTCTGCCACAGAACAAAGACACATAGAGCCAGTGAAAAGGGAAAATGGTAGCAAAAAAGTATTTATTAAACACCACATAATTCAATTTCAGAGTGTGGCATTAAACCTGCACTTGCTCCTTGGAAACAGGGAAGCTGAAAAAACCTGTGAAGGTGGGGACAGCACATCAAATGTGCAGGTGAAGTTTATTAAGAACATAACAAAATACCATTTCCACAGCCAGAAAAAATCTGAGGGTGGGGAAAAGAGATGAAGGCAACAACAGCCAAAAAAAATACCCTTGGAGTGTTTTGTGTAATATTTTTCAAACAAGAAAGCCTACTAAGGCTAAAAAATGGGCATGAAGTTCTACTTTCTTACATTCAAATATCAAAAAAAACAACAATGGCAAGTACAATTTGACCACTGTGTGTACAATTAAAACAACTCCATGTATTTAACTGGACCCCTCATGACGGCTGCAGCTCCATCAGCTTTGCTTGCTGGCTAGGACAGCGTGTGGTTTTCAGTCTTCTGCAGGAACACCAATCCTGCTCATGTAGCTCTCCCATGCTGCCTTTCTGTACTTCTCTGCTGCTTGGAGACGGTCTGAAACTCCTAAGATGCCACGTCCCACAATAATGATATCTGAGCCTTTTTCACCAATAACTTCCTTGGGGCTTAGGTACTTCTGTCCAAGGTTATCACCTGAAATACAGACACCATTTTGGTTTTGTTTGTACAAAACTGCATGTACTAAAAACCTTCAGAGAGGTGCTGGAACATGAAACAGGTCCCCCATCCCAGCTCTCATCCTAACAATCCACAAACAGAACTACAAACTGCATTGCCAACCAAAAAACACAGACCAAATTTGACAGCCAGCACTCTCCTTTTTCATGGTTTACCAATCATTACAGACAGAACAGTCTCAAACGGAACTCAAAGAAGCATCATAAAATAAGCCTCAGACTTCTTGAAGCAGGCAAAACCCCCAAACATTAATGTAAACGCTTGTGTAAAAGTTTAAGTCTCATAAAAATTAAGTATTGCAGAGAAACATATCTACCCTATCTGCTTCAATGACAACCTCTTCAGTCAGCACAAGACTTTCCATTCACTGATACTGCATCTATATCAATACCAAGTGTTTCAGCTGGACTTCTCTATTTGTTATATTTTTTTAACTACAACTGAATAGTTTTACATCTAATCTAACACCTATCTGAAGACATTTTACATGTTTTCAGGAATGTGCTTTATGGTATGCTCAGACCTCAAAACAGGGAAAAAGGTTCTACAGCCTGCTCACTGCCTTCCACAATTCCCAAGAAAGGGATCAGTATATCCAGAAATATGGGAGACACCCCTTAGTGGGAAACAGACTCCTCCCAGCTGAGAATCACCATCCAAACCCTCTTCAGAAGTCACTTTTTCACTGAAGACTAGATCACTTCTGTACTTGCAAACAGACTAAAAATATTTCGGAAGTTGTTACCTCCAGTTTGCAGCTGCACTCCTGGGGTTAAGTGAAGAAATTCTGGTTTATTACTAACTCTAGATCCACATATGAATCCAAAAACAAAATCTGAGTTTTCTTCAGCCATCTGTACCTGAAAAATCAGTGAACATCAGTGAACAATTACACAAATGATATACTTAAAACTCAGCTGGCCTAGCAACCTGTTTCTCATCTACCCTCTGACACTTGAATCTGTGTGAGGTAGGGGTATGAAACACTTCTTGCTTTCCCAATGTAAAGTCACTCCCTCCCTCTGGCAGAGAAGTGAATATTATGTTTCTTTCTACATTATAAATAATACTGCAAATGGATTTAAACTCATTAGAAATGCACGGCTTAAAAAAAGAAATTAAAAAAAAAAAAGCGGGGGGGAGAGTGCTAATAGCAAACGTGACGTGTACTAGAATTCCAAGTGTGAACTCTGACCATCTTACATCACGGGCCTACAGCTGCAACCTTTAAACACCACACAGTCATATTCCTAAGTCTCCAAGGAAAAAAAAAAACACCTGTAATAGTTAGAGCTGAAGGAACTTTTGGAAGTGCAAGTATAGAAAAACCTCCCTGTCACACTTTACAAGCTTTTAACCCAAGACTGCCCACTTACTGCAGCTTTTGTGTATTCACCCGTTGCGAGGGACCCTTGGGAACTCATCTCTGCAACCAGGAGGCAGCCACGGTGGAGAGGGAGACCCACTTCCTTCAGCCCTTTCACAACTCCAGAGCCTGGAACCACGTGGGCATTGACGATGTCCGCCCAGGACGCGATTCTGAACATGCCACCTGAGAGCACGGGCAGGAAGACACAGGCAAAGAGCCGTCAGAAATGTGTTGAACAGGAAGCACAAGTCAGACAAAAACAACTGCACACCTTATCACTCAGAGATTTAAAAGACAGTGTTACTGCTGAAGCTTGTCAGTTACAAGTTCAGTCTCATCAGACAGCTCTGACAGCTGCCTAACCACAAAGTGTAATCTCTCAGTTTACTTTTCACAAAGACTTGCTAGTGTCTCACCTTTAATATTTACTGAGACATTTATGGGAGCCCAGAAATATGCTGTCACAGGTGCTATCTGCCCAGACAGCACACAGATCATATGGGACATAAGGATCAGGAAAAGAGAACAGCAGTTCTACAGCTGCAGATGGAGTATCAAAAGAAAGCCATGCTGGGCACACAACCAGTACAGTAATAGCAGGCAGCACTTTCTCATGGCATACGACTCAGAAGTACTTACTGAGCACAACCACAGAGTCATAAAACAGTTTAGGTTGGAAGGGACCTCAGGAGATCATGCCCTCTTAACAGGGTTAACTTCAATGCTAGGTCAGATTGCTCAGGGTCTTATCCCCTTGAGTATTTCCCAAGGCTGGAGATTCCACGCTCTCTCCTGGCAGCCTGTGCCAGTAGTGCAGTTACACCAGAGGCAGTTATGGTAAATCCAGGTGGATGATAATCACCTTCATACTGGTGTTTGACTGTGTGTCCAATATCTGCAAATTTCCTGTCTTCAAAAATCAAGAATTCATGTTGATCTGCGAGCGTTCTCAACTCCTTTACTACCTCTTGGGTGAAATCATTCAGGATGTCTATATGAGTCTTCAGGATGCAGATGCTAGGGCCCAGGGTGGCAGCTAGCTGCAGCAGCTCCTTGGGGCTGGTGACATCAGCAGAAAGGCACAGGTTTGTTTGCTTCTTTTCCATGAGCATGAGAAGCTTGGCTGCAATGGGATGCACCCCTGGCAGCTGGGCACGAGCGCTGAAGCTCAGCTCCTTGCAGAGTCTCTTTACAGGAGCAGCACCGTTCTGAGCCACTGCCTCAAACACATTTCCCTCAATGAATTTCTTCACCTTTTCAACCATCTCAGCAGCCACTTCTCCCTGCTGCTGGAGAATCTCCAGCACCTCAGATAAGGTGCACACAGAGTGCAAGCGAATTCCATGCTCCTCTAGCCTGGCCTTCCCACCCTGCTCCCTGTCCAACAGCACTATGGCATCCGTGACTTTTAATCCTTCTTTCTGAAGAGCTTCTGCAGTTTCCAGTACACTGGATCCACTTGTTACCACATCCTCAATGATCAGGCATGTCTCTCCTGGATTAATGGTGCCTTCTACCATCCGCTTAGTACCTGAACAGTAAAAAGCAAACACTCCACCAAATTAGCAAAGGTTGGACAACCCAAGAAAACCTTAATAGAATCAAAACTTTATTAGATGATATCACAGTTCTTACCACAGCTCACTCACTGATCTGTAATTCAGTTCATAAAGACTGTTACTTCTCCAAGCTGATAAAATACTAGTTTATGTATCCAGAAGTTATGTTCCATAACAAAACTGACATACTGTTAACAGCACAAATTCAAATGTTTGAATAAGATGACTTCAGAAATTTAGTATTGTCATGACTTGAAAGCTCAGGCTTACAAAATTATTCTCTTGTTATTTAAAACACCTTTAAGACAGCCAAGTTACTGGCACTCTTCACACGTCCCCTGTTTTCCACAGGCAGCACTGTGTGCTTAATATGCCTGTTAGAACAATTAGAAGGAGTAAAGCCTCAAGTGCCTTTTTCCTAACTAACAACAGGCACACATCCATGAAAGGCCTCCTGGGAGGCAAGGACAAAGGGATGCCTGGCTTTCCCAGGAGCAGTTAATCGCTGTCACAACTGGCTTGTGCCTCACAAGAAGGAACAGTAAATGTTTCCATGGCTGTCCCACTGCAAGACACAGGAGTAACATTTAGTTTTGACAAGTGTACTTTCTAATTACACACAGTTGGAAGAGCATACTTAGAAATCCAGTTATATGGCAGGTTAATGCTTCAGTCTGCTCTCCCACATCCTTTATCACAATCAAATAAATGGTTCATTACTCAGAGAAGGGACTGCTGCTCATCTGGCTCACTGATTACAGGACCACAGGATACCGAAAGAAAATGGGGGTTGAGAGATAAATGAAGAAGAGACTAGAAAAGTTCCTTTTGGTGTTAATATGAGCAAAACATGGCTCTGGTCTCAGCATGCTAGAGAATCTGAGTTATAAATCCTCATTCCTGGATGAGGCCACTAATCCAGAACTATAGCAAGAGTAACAAGGAAAAAAAAAGACATTGCTAAGGAAAATAAACTCCCACAAACAAAACCAAAGAAACAGGGAACGACCCTCAAGTCTCTAAATCTCCTACATCAGGACTAAAGGCTAAACAGCAACCAGCTGGGAGAGGCTGATGAGGCTGGAATGCTGTGGAGGTTTCCTTTAGGAGGGAAATTGCAATAGTAACCTTAAACTGGAACGGAGATCATGTGCCTTACAAAAGAACCACCAAAAAATGACCATAAAGTCGTTTCCCAAAGAAGGTAAACTGCAAACTCTTGATTTGAAGGCTTTACCGTAGTCCTTTCCCTCCTTCCTCCGAATAAGCATGGGAACCTGATTTTCCGCGCAGATGATGGTGGCCAGCGGCAGCGCCGTGTACGGAACGCCGCACACGCAGTCGTACCGCACACCCGCATCCTGGGCTGCCTGGAAAAGAAGTCCCGCAACCTGGAAAGGAAAACCAAGAGCCAGGCTGGAGCGAACGTGACTAAATCAATGAAACCTCTCTGCCTGACACGGCCCGGAGCCGACCCTGCGCGGCCCCGCTGCCCCTGGGCCGTGAGGGACCCGCCAAGGGCCGGGACACGCGGGCCGGGCGGGTCCCGGGGTTCCCCGGCTCGCACCTGCCGGAGGAGGCGCGGGTGGGACACGAGCCCGCGCAGGTCGATGTACACGGGGGAGGAGCGGCCGCTCTTCAGCACGAAGTGCCCGAAGCGCAGCGCGCCCGCCCCGCTCAGCGCCGCCGCCGCGGCCGCCCCAGGCCCCGCCGCCATCGCGGGCCCGGCGCACGGAGATGATGCGGGGCGGGCGGGCCGCGGGGCGGGGACGGCGTGAGGCGCCCGGGAGCCGCTGTGGCCGTGCCGCCTCCTGCCTCCCTGCCTGCCTGCCTGAGGCGGGAGCCCGGCTGCGCCATCCCGGGCTCCGTGTGGCCCGTCCGCGTCCCCTCCCCGAGGCGGCAGCCCCTGCGCCGTCCCCCGCTCCCTGAGGCCGCTCTCCCTGCATGGTTCCCAGCTCCCTCCTCACCCCATTCCCCCGAGGAGCAGAAGCCGCCGGTGCAGAGGGTTTGATGTGACCCGAGGGTTTCTCGCCGCCTCGGCTCCTCGAGTGATTCCCAAAGGGCCGCTCGGTGGATCCCTTGGGCTGGTTCCCGGAGAGATCCCCCAGAAAACATGAGCTGAATAAAGCCCTGAGCTGAATAAACATGAGCTGATAAAGCCCTCAGCCGGCCCCGAGTCTCTTCCCAAGGCCTCACTCAGAAAGATGCCACGTGTGTGAAATAAGACTGACCCGGTCTTCTCTGAATAATTTTATTTAATCAAAAAAGCCCAGAAATTGAGTCTTTAGTATACTCTATTTATGAGAATGCAAGGACAGGAGATGTACAGGTCGAAGCTAAATCTGTAGATGATTATATATACTGCAGTATAGTAACAACAACATGGGACAGCAAGTAGTCACCTCACAACAGTACACATGAGTGATTCGACTTACAAAGGAAATATTTACAAACCTGCCTTTACAAACCAACATTGTGTGCATACAAAATGAAATCCGCAATAAAACTGATGATACATTTAAGGCAGACCAGCAATACACTGAAATAATTAAGGCTGTGGAATTTGCACCTTGAAAATGCTGAGCTATTAGCAATACTGTTTCTTTTTTCCTCCTTCAGTGAATTGTTGCAAGGATTGAAAGCATCAACACGTTCCAACTGTTTGCTCTTACCTCGGTGAATAAATCTGAGATTGATTTTTTTTTTGCACTTGCTATTGCATTTGCTTTACAAAAGTTATCAGCAATTGACCTCAGTGGCAGAGCAGTGTTGAACAGTTTGGTAGAAAGAGAAGTAAAAGCACCAGCATCAGAAGTTGGACATGGAGGTGAAATATGGCTTGAGTAGAGAAGATGTTGGTTTTTCACTAGCTCCATAATAAAGACTACAGTCACAGCAAACATTCAGCATCCTGACGCTATGGAAACACTCAGCACTATACAGATCCCAGAACGAGAGTACATCACTTGATGGCAGTGTGCAGTCAGCCTAGTACAATGAGACTTGATTTTGTTTCCTTGGGAAAGCACCATTTTCTGATGGGACATGAGTGAATGAGCTTGAAAATAAACTCAAGCCCTGTGTTAGATGAGAATTCACCTCTGCTGTGAAAGAAACAAGAAAAAAAAAAAAAGTGGTGAGCCCCTGTGCATGTAAATTTTCTGCTAGACTTTTATGTGCACAGAGAAGCCTTTACATGTCTCTGAAATTTCTGTTATTCTAGGTTACTTGACACAGTCCCCTCATTGCAAGGGCATTAAAATAGGGTTATATATAGTCAGGTTATAATGTGTGGCTCTGCATTCAGCCTTTATGCACAGTATTTGTAGCACAGGCCTAATAGCATTGTCAGAAATGCTAATTAACTCCACTGAAGTCACAGCCTCAGGGTCAGCTGAAGGCACAGACTTTGTCGCAGCATTAACTTAGAAGGAAAAAGATACATGTTACTGAAAAAACCCAATCCGTAGTCTTTTAAAAAGAAAGGGCAGTCAGACTAAATAGAACTTGAGAAGAGAGAGACATATTATAAATTTTAAAGCCTGAATTGGTTTAAAATACTGAAGTCTATCACCCTGGCCTGGCTGTGTGTCACTCCAGTAGCACCATGCACAGGGGGCTTGGCAGCCTGGTGGTCAGTGGGGCCTCCCCCAGGGCAGCAACACCTGATGGGGCTGACAGTTTACACTGGCCAGCAGAACTCCTGCCCTGGCCTGGCTGCTCCAAGTGGAGCAGAGAGAGAGGCGAGCTAATTTCTCATTGCACATTCATTAATTGAAGCCATCTTAAATAAGGATCCCCCATGTCACCACGTCCTCTGGGCTCTGTGTCACCAGCACCTTTGCTGCTGCCCTCATGTCACCCAGCACCTGGGGACACTGTGAGCCACACTTTGATGTCAGAGCAGGGTAAGAGCACTGTGGAATTGTCTGACAGCAGTGACTGTGTGCACAGTGCTACTCCACACAGAGCTTGTGGTGCACTGTTGTCAGTATTCCTGTTGGTCATCCTGGATGGTTGGAAGCTGCTGGAAAAGCCAAAGGGTGCAGCCACCACCACACTTTCAAGCTATCTTGGGAACACCCCGAGTGGTACACAGCTGCAGGTGGAAATCTTCCCTTTGGATATTCTCTGGGAAGCTTCACTGAGAAACTGTGTTTTTTACAGACAATATTCCATGCACAAAAAAAAAAAAAATCCAGTCATTGGAGAATGCCACACAGGGGATTGGCTGTGGTGCTCCTCACCCAGCGGGTACACTCCAGGCCTACTTACTCAGCTTCTGTAATCTCTTTAAAATGGAGTTAGAGTTTGCAACAGAGTTAAAGGACCTGTTGTATCCGCAGAGGCACCACAGGCTGGCTGAAAAAGACTTTGAAAGAGCAAAGTCAGAATACTTCCTGTGCATTTATCATATGGCAATATTGCATGTAAACTTGGTATTATTCAGGCAAAAGCTAGAATGGTTGGTAATCACAAATGTTTTGTGGAAGTTTTAACTGGTTCAAGTATTCCTGAATGGGCTGTAAGAAGAATGGTATCCAGGAAGAGGTGCTCTAACATGAATATGGAAAAAGCAAAACCACAAAAGAAAGTTACCTCAGAACATTCAACATCATCAGAGTTCAGCACCTCCAGCTCTCTCAACAAGGAGTCTTTTCTGAATCTGAGCACCAACAACTAATCATATATCATCTCTCTTTCAGCCTTTTGGTTTTTTTTTTTTTTCTGTTACTTGATAGGAATGAGAGGCTTAAATATTACCTTAAACAGTCCAGCTTTTTCCCCCTGTGCATTCAGAGTGTCTGCTGTTGTAGTTTGACATATGAATGCAGGACGTAGAAAAACTTAATGCTAAATAACTCCAAATTTCATGTGATAAACGAGAATTTGTTTGTATTAATGCCAAGCAGAAAGCCTGTGGCTTCAACTGTACCCATGGGCCTAATAAAAGCTGTGGGTTTTACAGACCACACTTCCACAAATATTTTTTTAAGGGCAGCACAATCACAGCACAAAGTCAGCTTTGACAAATAGGAAGAATTACAGACAGTCCTATAGTGAGAAAGTACCTGAGGCTGGTGGTAATTAGAGACTCCCTTTAACTGCTGTCTGTATTCAGTTGCTAAGAAATTGCATACTTGGCACTGTTTCTCAGGATGAGAGTCTGGTCTTTATCTAAGAGGTGCTGCTGGATTGCTTAGAAAATCAGCTGCTGCTCTAGAGAGGAACTGAGATAGGTTCTAGATGATTTTCAAAAAGCTTAACCTTCTGTGAACACTTGTCTCTTTCAAACCTCTCCACATTTCCTCCCTGTATTAGGTCTCTCACAGAAATGCTTCTGACTCTGCTGAGGCATCTGAGCTCACCCTTCTGCCTGTGGCTTCCCCATCTCAAGGGATGTTCTTTGTTGCACACACTCAGTGTCGAGCACTGAGGGTTTTTGCTGTGCCTCTTCTCCACTAACAAAATACTGACCACTCTGGTGTAGTGATATAGCAAGCACAAAGAGGAGGGCCAGGTCTCCTCCCTGCTGTGAAAGGGAGCTTGGAGGTGGATCAAAAAAGGGCTGTCAGAGCCCTGAGAATTTAACAGTACTTGCAGGGTATCTCTACCACCCACTGGCAGAGACAGTGCTTGCTCCTGCAGGCTCACAGTGAAGTTACTCAGATGGTAAACAAGATTTGACTCTCTCCCTTACAAGGGAGTCTGTATGAGCACACGTGGTCAGATCAAGCGCTTTTCCTTTGGAAAACCTTTGATAACAACTGCCATTTCCCATTACAGACACACAAATGTTACTCAGCAGCGAGACAAAGTCCCCATGTGCCAGGGGAAAAAAAATCTCTTTGACTGTAACCCCACAAGGCATTGTGGTGTGGCAAGAGGATGGGGAAGCCCCAGATGGTTTCCCCTTCCAGTCCCATTTCTGGAAAGGAAGATTTGGCCAACCTACAAACTGCTGATTTGTCACTACAGACTCCCTATGTTGGCTATACTTAAGGCTGTCTCCGTCACTGTAACATCAATATGATGATGTTGCAACTTGGCTTACAAGAGAGAAATTATTTAATTGTCAATATTATTTTTTTTTATTACAAATTAGGCTTTGGACATAAAAATATCCTCATGAATGCTTTGGTTATGAGGTGCTAATGGTGGCTGAGAGATATTTACAAGTTTGGAAATGAAACAAATTACATGCTTTAAACACTGAGAATGATTTTAAAGCTGTAAGCACAAGAATGAACTCACCACTCCTACTGCACTCTGAAAGGCTTGGATGGACTTTGGGCCAAGCAATTCTGAAGCTAGAAATGGAACAGGATCCTTTACATTTATATATATTTATATCTATGATACAATATATGTATACTGAAAACCTGTGATAGAAAAAATTGTCTTCATCACCATCATCATCTAGTTTACAGATACTGCAAAAATTGGACTCTGCCTTTTCTCAATGCACAGGTTTTGCAAAAGATTTCTGTACAATGTGTATAAAATGCTTTTAAAAAACCCACCATAGTCCCATTGTGCTTAATCAGAACCAGCTGTATGCTCCAATGAATTCATTACTTTAATCTTAGCTCTGAAAGGTGCTGCATGTTGACTTAACACAGCAGAAAGCCCATGGAGGGGCTTAATGGAGGATTTTGGTCTGAGCACTACCATGCAACACCAGTGTACCTAAGCCATGCCACCATGGGAGCTGATCCAGCAGTGACTGGAGC